CCAGTTGAAACAGGCTTTAATTTCTGTATCACAAACTCACTGGGTGAACTCTTTAAAGTTTAATTCAGGTTTCAAAAAGAAACTATTACAAATATTTGCATATATGACACAGCGCTGCTAAAAAGTGTTCAGACCCATGTAACATTTTCAATTTGTAACTAAAAATGTATGTGAAATAACACAATGTACCCCGTATTTAGGTTAGGTTATAAAACAAATGTCAAAACAGCATCCTACCCATTATCTGAAAATGGAAAAATTATGCACCAATAGCAAACTAACCAAAACATGGCTGTTCAACTAAACTGAAGGACTAAGGAGACCATTAATCAGAGAAACAGCCCTTAGTAACACTAGATGAGCTGCACAGATCCACTGCTCCAGTGGAAACATCTTATGAGGAAAACTACGAAGTTTTACTCTCCACAAATCTGCTTTTATAGTAGAGAATGAGTGAAAGAAAACTTGTGGGATGATGCAACAGACTTGACATTGAGGTTCATTTTCACATTGCAGCAGGAGAACACATTGACTGAGGAGGGCTTAAATACATATCCAATTTCTTTGTGATAAATTTTAAAAGCAATGAATCTCATCTTATCCACCTCATAATTATGATATATTGTATATGTAGTCTGTTGCACAAAATCCTGAGAAACTACATTCAAGTTTGTGTTTGTAGTGAGACACACTGAGAAAATATTTCTGCGAGGCACTGTAAATGATCGGTAACACTGTTAGCTTCTGAGGAAGGTGTAGAAGGTGCAAAGAAGAAATCAAATATTCAAACGTTTGGCTTGGAGGAAAATTAAAAAAAAAAAAAAAAAAAAGAAAAAAAAAAAATTAAAGATTTACTTGTGGAGATCCAGGTCAATAGACATAAGGCTGATAAATATAACTGAACTTCAGAAGAATTGACTGGTGGTAAAGCCAACAGTCAAAGGAAAAAATCTTTTGATTTTCCCACTTTTGTCTGATTTCAAGGTAATGTTTAGTGGAGATACAGATGGAAATAAAGCTTTTTAAGTGATTGTGAGTTTAGAATATCCAAATATTTGCCCTCAAGCTGAACAAATGTCTTTCAAATTGCAGGAGGTGTCACACAGATTACGAGGTACATAAATATATCCCACGATGCCACAAAACACAACGCTTTTTTTTCTGCTTCATTTAGGCAGCCGCACACAAATTTCAAAGGCAACGCGTAGAATCCTTGATCACTATTCTTTGGCTCGAAGGTTTCCCAGCAGCACTTACACAGAGTCTGGTGAAGGTAGCAACTTGCCCTTGCATTTAATTAGCAAGTAAAAACATCTAATGTTTGCCCACCCCCAGGACGTAAATTAAATGTGCCTTGATTATAATATTGGTTACAATGATCATTTGCCATGAAGTTGCTTTTAAAAAA